TTCATAGAATTACTCCTACATTTTATAGGCAAAACTCAGTGGAATATATTCGTAATATTAGTTGATCTCGTGAAATGAGATTTTTATTTTGTACCTTGTAACAAAATATTTTTTATTCTTAAACATAATATTTTTGTCTTTTCTTTTGATTTCGAAGGAAAGCTGACAAGAACTTACCTAATCTAAAATGACAAGAGTCACAAAAACAGAAAATTATTCATATTTTGTTATTTACGTTTAGATAAAGAAGTAATCTAATATCAGTTGTGATTAAAAACAAACGAAAAATAAGAATGAAGAATCACTATTACAAAACAAGTACTATTGAAAAAAATAATTATTATTATGTCAATGTTAATCTTTTTCTCATTCTACAACAAGATTAGTAAATAGAGGGTAAACTACAATAGCCTAAAATTATAGCTCAGTAAATCTACAGACTACTTTTCAATAGTTGTCGATTAACTTTGATCAAGTATTAGTAAATTTATTAGAAACATTTTACTAAATAATGAATAATGTTAATGTAGGATACGAATTAAAAACTTCAAAACCAATGAAAATTAGATAGTACGATTAAGGTTTTCAACTCTTTAATTTTTGTAATCAGGAACGTACACATTTGAAGCAGAACTCAAGAAGATATTTTTTTTGTTGATCAAAAAACTGATGTCAACAATTTGTATCATAGTTGTACTTAGTAGGTTCTCACAAAGAACAACGTGGCACAATCATTACTTGTATCGATCACATACAGATATCCGTTAGAAAAACGTTTGACACAGTGAAAATTATAATGTAAACTAGAATCTAACCCGAAAGTCTCCTGTCACTCGTTACAACAGTACTATTCGTAGCAACTGATTGTCATACTACCACTGCTTAGTTAAATGTCACATATTGCAAAATAGTGTTCATTCTATCAAGTGATTGACTCCGGCAATATCTAGCATATATCTTCAATACTTACTGTTGTGAAAAAATAAAAACAACATTGCTGATGCCATATTTAAATTCTAGTTAAAACCTATAGTTTTTGGATCTTCTGAAATATTTTCAAGTAAACCGAAATGAATAAACATGTTTGAAGAAAACGTTGACACATAAAAGTCTGTCTAAATTAATTTGTTGAGCTTTTCAAGATATTAATTTACTACTCTTGAACAAAAACTGACAGTAAATTCCTAAATCCCATAGGCAAAAAGAGTACAAAATTTTGATTCTGAGTCATAGCTTTTGACTTGTCGGAAATATTTTCTAATAAGTCAAAAGTGAACTAGCATCTTGCTTAAAAACTTTTCAATCACCTATTAGTAATAGATAAATGTACTCAGTTAGTATAAGACTTGCATATTATTCACTTTTTCGACTAACAATTGCATGGATCAAAGAACAACTAGATCGAGAATATATCGACGCATAAAAGCGATGAGATGAATTTAAAATCATGAAGTAGCTGATCAAATTATGTTCTATATAGATCACATTGCATCATTGCAATATTAACTCTGTTTTGTTTCAATTGTCAGCTTAGATAGTATTTATGTAGCTTCAGAAGTTTTTTTTTTGACGGACTCTTTATGTATTGTCTTGCAATTGTTTTGCTATATTTTACATAGCTTCATTAGATTAGAAATGATTTGTTTTTTGTCCTTGAATTTTCAAATCTTCAAGTTGATTGAATTGATTGGCTTTATCCTAATTATATATCCATTTCTTAATTTATTCTTTCATACAGCAAACAAAAAAACAAAGATTAATTAATCTTGTTTATTTTCTAATGAATCTGGGTTTTCATCTCTCCTATTCTCTTCCAATAATAAGCCTTCAAAAACATAATATATAATGGAATATGACGTTTTTGTCATGTAAGCAGTAATTAAAAAATGTTTGAGAACTTTCTTTTTTTGTTTGAATAAGCCATAACAGATTTCGAAAGTACATTTTTTATGTAATATTTTTATATAGTTTTAAGTTGTTTTACATCTTTATCATACAGTACCAAAGAGCTATATTTCTAAATCTTTTTTTTTGACGTATATATCAACAAAAGTGTACTTTTTTCCGATGAGAAAAAAAATATACTGTATTCCACTGATCAATATACCACTGATGTATCTATCATACCGCATTCGATGGAGAATTTGAAACTGTATCGAACGGTACACAGTTTGTACTGATCAATAGCAACCAGACAGCATTTTTAGCCATTGGAAGTATTGCAACCCCTAGAGAAGAACCAAATTTCTGCTAGGTGCTTCTGATAACTATTCATGGCAGAGTGGAAGCCATAAAGAGCCATATATTCATGAATCTGGAAGTTGAAAACTGAGAAAATGATTTCGGATTGTGGCTTCAGTAAAGACCGACGGCCGCCGAAGCACTCACACTCACAATAGCTAGAATTCATAATATGTTTTGTAAATACGATTACTCATAGAAATAAGGTCTACCAGCAAACGATGGTGGTCATGATAACAGCGAAACGGTAGCCTAGAAACTGATTCTTTCGTAACTTAAGCTTTTCTTTAACAAAATATTCTCGCGGCTCTTCAGCGATTCATCCAGTATGGTAAATATGAGTTTTGATTGTGTTATCTGATTGTTGTTTGTACTAGTTATGGTAAAGGTATTTTCTTCGTACATTTTCTTCTTAAGAAGTTGGATAGTAGATACTAATTCTATAAAAGATAGTTTGATCGAAAGACAGTCATGCGCGCATCTCGAAAAACATCGACACTCTGATAAAATAAGCTTTCTCAATTACCCCAACCATCCTTGAGCAAATAAAGGAAAACTACTTCTATCACACCTAATATCAACGAACCGATCACAATAAGAATACATAAAAGGAAATAACATATATCCACATGCTTGACTGATCTTCATTCACAGAATATCGTATACACACTAGTTAAAAGGGTATGGGTGTGTGGATGTAAGAAGAAGATGCACAGCTACACACCAACACCCCACCCCCCACCCCTTCCCTCACACTCGACACACACCCTTTTTACAAATGACACTCAACTGATTTTTAACTTTTCTTTGCCAGATAGGAAGAAAAGAAACGTTGAATTCTTTTTTGATTCTTACTTCCCAAAACAGAAAACTGAATCGTACGTGCTGTTATGATGAGAAAATGTTAAAGAAATAAAAAAAAAACAGTAAGTTGGATTGACTATTTTGTTTTCGACAGTACGACTTTTTCATAAGTAGCATTGAATTTTGATTCAAACCACGCATTTTCTGTCTAAAGCAAATTTTCATTTTCATTTGTAAGGAACTCTAGGGCATTTGAAAAAGGTTTTTCCTTATTATATTGAATCATCAATCATGGACTGCAGAATTTAATGCTAATTTTTAATATACTAGTTTTTCAAACAATTAAGTAACTAATTCAATTTTCTTCTTTTCATTACTAACTTTCTTCTTGTCAGAACAACATAAACAATTTAATTCTACCGTTTCGAACACAGCAAGTAAAAAAGAAACAAACCTGTTACCTGTATAGTAAAACACTGCAATCAGTATGCATAGTACGAAAAGATTTTGAGTATTTATAAATTCGATATAGTGAGTATTGGAAACTTCATTTTCTTAAAAATACTTATGCAAATATGAAATTTGATCGGTTGTACGATGTGATGATTTATGTCTCAAAATATTGACATAGAGACACGTGGATGTCCATCGTTAAATTTAGCTTGAAAGGTACAAAAATAACGACAGAAAAGAAGAAAAAATTCAATAATAAACGAAAAAAAAAACATCAAGTAGCAAAAATATTGTTTCTTCTTGTGTGAAATGCGATCGTGTAGGACTTTATACATACCAATATTTGAGTAAATGATGATTTAGTCATGGATGTATTTTAATATTGAAAAATTTCTCATAAGATCGTACAACGTTCCATACATATTGTTAGGTGAACCCATTCGTAATTGCACAATTTGTAGTCCATGCTTCTCTGGACTAGATAATTTTGCAGAAATCTGAATATAGTTTCAGCAGATTTTCCTATCCATTCCATACAAGATAACACTAATGTTTAATCTGAATATTTAACCTCAAAACGTGACGATATAACATTGTGTTTCTAGAACGGTAGCAAATTTCTATCAGCATCTTTTTCTGAATAACTTAATCTTTTAATCATTAGACAAACATAAAGCATATCTCAGAGAGTGCCTTTATTTTCGGGTGCAATGGATTGTAGCCCTTGTTATGATATGCAGTGAAGCTCAATTCAGTCAAGCCCTGCGAAGCAGTCTCGCATCGTAATTGAGTCGACAGTAGAACCGGGTGTGAGTAAACGTGTAGGTAGTGGGAATTACAATCAAATAAAAATTTCATTCACCCACACTCAATCTAGTCTAATGAAAACATGAAATAAAATTTATGCTTTGGTTTGTGAAACATCCGATGTATGTCTTGCTGTTTTCTGATGGCAATTCATTTTTTGTTTGTTTAAATTTTGTAATTGTGCCATATCTTCATAATTTCGATTGTTTATAATAAAGTATTACTATTGTAATCATATGTTCTGTGGTTGATTCTAATCTAAGTATCGAGTTAAATAGATGCTGTAATAGGTTTCAAAGTTCTATTCGTATGCAAAGGAGAGATGATTTCGCAACACTTAAAAACTCGTAATAGAGCGATAGTAGCAGAATAAAGGGCGAATAAACAGTTAGTGTCTACTGAGCAAACATATTTCTGATAGACAATGAAAAATGGCTCTCTATTGGTTAGTGCATTAACTGAATCAATTTGAAATTCACTGTCTTCAATTGCTACAGTTCCCTCTGTTCATACAAATACATGTGACTCCGACGATTGATTTATTTTTCTAATTGGAAAAGTTAATAGTAAAAGAAAGGAACAAGAGCATATTTCCACTATTTTATATTTAGAAATGTCATCGACATATCAGAATCTAGCAGGTAAAGCTTTTATACCGTTTGGCTTTACATCAACTATGCAAGATCTTATCGATGTCATGTCCCGACCATTAAATCAGCCGAAAAAATATAAGCCAATCACAGCCAGACTTACTACGTCTGATCAACGTAAAATCAAGATAAATCTTAACACATGTCGACCATTGTATTCTTCACATTATAATACAAAGATAGCTAAAGAGAAAGCAGAACGCAAAGAAGCTCTAGAAGACTTAATAATTGTTTGGCTGGATGAACACATGAATGAAACCGAAAATCAATTCTCAAAGAGAAAAAGTGATTTACGTCAAATAATTGATTGTTTGATGGCATTCAATAATGCTGATCAATGTTTTAAATATATTCAAAATATCAAACAAGAAAAGATATTTTTAATTGTATCTGAATCATTCGGAAAGACTGTCATGGATGATATCAATGGATATTCTCAAATTATATTTGTATATATTTTTGGTACGAATACAAATCATTATAAAAAATTGAGTAAAGATTATAAAAAAATTATGGGTGCTTTTGCCAATGAACATGACTTGATAACGCAAATAACTAAAGATGCTTCTTCTTTTTTCCACAATAGTCTACCCATTAGTGTTATTAATTCTATCGGCATCAGTGAAAAGTCTGTTCAAGATTTGACAAAAAATCAAGCTCAATTTATGTGGTCTCAAATATTAATGAAAATATTACTTGACTTACCACAGACACTACAATCACAGCAAGAATTCATTGAAGAATGCCGTCGACAGTATAAAGATAATTCTGCTCGACAAAATCAAATAACTGAATTTGAAAAGACTTATATTTCTTCGAATGCCCTTTCGTGGTATACACGTGACAGCTTTTTATATCGTATTGTTAACAAGGCGTTACGTACACAAAACATCATCTACATATTTAAATGTAGATTTTTTATCATTGATGTTTTTCAACAACTGAACAAATCGTATTTGAAGTTTAGCGAACCACTAGAAAAGAAAACTTTAACAGTTTATAGAGGACAACGAATGATGGCTGATGAATTTGCTAAACTACAACAAAACATCAATGGATTTATTTCTATTAATACGTTCTTTTCCACAAGTATTTCTTCAGATGCGGTTTTTTCATTTATTGCTGATGGAGATGATCGTCCGCTTTATGAATATATCTTTTTTGAAATTGAACTTTACTTGGATAAAATGACGACACCACTCGCCAACATTTCGACAATCAGTAATTGCCAGTCAGAAAATGAAGTACTTCTTTGTATGGGAACTGTTTTTAGAATTGAATTCATCGATAAACTTACTGATGTAATATGGCATATCAAATTGGTTTCCATCGATAAAAATGATAATTCAAAGTTGGATAACCTGGTCAGCTATTTAAAGAAAGAAACTGGCGAAACTCTAAATTGTCTAGCCATGGGAAGAATTTTACAGTATATGGGAGAATATGACAAAGCTCAGAATTTCTATGAAATACTATTGACTGAGCTACCATTAAATCATCCAGATATGGCTGGAATCTATAATGATTTTGGAATGGCTCTTTTCAAAACACAGAAAAATTCCAAGATCGCATTGAACTATCTAATACAATCAATGACAATGCAATTAAAAACATTTCCACAGCGGTTTCTGTTCTTTACTCAAACGTTGATTAATATTGCTTCAGTCTATAGCCAACGGCGAAGTTTTAAGCGAGCGCTAGGTTTACTTCAACTTACTCTACAAGTATTAGAGTTAGATTGTTCAACAAATAATTCACAAGCAATACCTTTACAACGATCAGATATCTATAACAATATTGGTTTTATATATTCGCGTACTGGACGATTGTCTTTAGCAATAAAATATTTTAAAATGTCGTTGAAAATCATAAGAAAAATAGTGCCTACCAATCATCCTAATATTGCATTATCATTGAACAATATTGGAATGGCTTATTTGGAAAATTTCGATTCTTCAAAAGCTAATAAATACCTTCAAGAAGCCATGATGATTGTAGAGGGGTGTTTACCCTTTGAACACCATCCAGATATCGCACGACAATATAATAATATAGGACTTCTTGAATATAATCGAGATAATCTTGATAGAGCATTAGTTTTTTATGAAAAGGCACTAAAGATTCAATTGAAATGCTTGTCTCCTATTCATCGACAAACAGCTGCACTGTACAATAATATGGGGCACGTCTATTTCGAAAAATTGGAATATGAAATGGCACTCAGAATGTTCACAAAGGCTTTACAAATTGAAAAACAATGTTCACCCCTGCATTATCATAAGATAACTCATGCTCATCAAAATATTGGCAAGACTTATCGTTCTTTAGAAGACTATAAGAATGCACTAATCCATTGTACGGAAGCCCTATCAATCTGTCTGAAACATTTACCATCAACACATTTCTATGTAGCACAAGCTTATCGAGCTCTTGGAGATGTTTTTTATGATCTTGAAAATTATCCAATAGCATTGGAAAATTTTCAAAAGGCTCTCAATATCTATTTAAAAAATCCACCCATGGATAAGACGTACCTTGGTATGCTATACAAAGCTATTGGCATGGTATTTTATTATACAAAAGAGTACGACAATGCTTTGAAACATTTAAACAAAGCGCTCGTAACACTTCGGATTTGCGACCAGAATCGATTTGAAGAATCCATCAACGATGTACTAGAACTCATTAAGCATATATCAACTGTGCAATAGCATTAAGAATTTGTGGAATGTATTCACTCAAAAAAATGTTTTCGTCGGCATTTTGAGTATATTATTAATACAGAAATGTGGGTACGACAAAACATTAGAATATTTCGAAACAATTCGAAAACTTCTATCATTTTATGTAATTAACTTGTGCTTGACACTTATTTACTACAAAATAAAATGACTGCAGAGATGATATTCACATCATCAGATTCTCATAAATCTGATGTTGGATGTGGGCAGGCGTGCGCGTGCGTGTGGTGGGTATGGATGTGAGAATCGAGCACGCAATTTCCACGCCGCCACACGCACACCCACACCCAATTTAACTTTTAACCCCTTCACTGTTATTGACGTATATATACGTCAAAGCAATCTTTATGGAAAAAATGACAACTGCAATTCCTTAACTTTGTTTTCTTTGTATGCTCTGCGTCAACTCTAACAACCTACACTGACTTGAGCTCTCTCTACTGGCTCTGATGTTTCATATCGACTATGTGCCTCTGTGTCAGTTATATCATTATTTTTTGCAAAGAGTTTATTATTTAGCTTTAAAAAAATTTAACGGTGAAGGGGTTAATTTACATTTACTATTTTCTTTGAAAATATATGTGAGTTCCACGAATTTTATATATAATGATATACATGATTGTAAATGTGTCTCTATGAAGGAAACATGCTGCGAAATGGCAATGTATTGACTCCGCTAATTGATGTATTAATAAAGTTATATGGTTAGAAAGTTGTTTGACAAAAAATAAAAATTAATCGCAAATCTTTCAGAATAGAAAAGAGAAAACAGTTGAGCAATTGCAAATTGAGAATTCAGTTCATTTGCAAATCACTTCAAAGGTATGATATAGTCAATTTTCGGTGTCAAACATGTTCACTCTAGAGGAACAGCTGAGAAGACTCGTTATTTCCTCGAAGGAAATAAATTTCGCGTGAATAGCAGTTAACATTGCTGACCAACTACAATCTTATGAAAATCCACCATTAGGTTGCGATGCTATCACAAGAAAAATAAGACGAATATTCATTTTGTTCAAAGAAAGAATGAGTTGACAAAACTGTTCCTCTAAAGTAAACGTGATTAATATAGAAAATCAATCATATGATGACTTTTTAAAGTGATTTTACAAATGAATCGAGTGCTCGAGTCGTATCCTGTCAACTATTTTCTTTTTCTTATTCTAGAAAATTCAAGGTTAATTTTTAGTTTTTGTCAAGCACATTTCTAATCATATAACTTTATTACTGCATCAGCTAATGGAGCTAATCAATAGTTGTTTTGTAGTACATGTTTCCTTCATAGAGATTGATTCACAATCACGTGTTACACTATATAGAAATTTTTTATACAAATCGAGTCACGACTTATGACTCATCAATTATACTTCTTCCCTCAGGAGGACGAGGGGACCAGACAACGTCGCCTTAAAACTTACACTCATCATTTTGCTTTATAAAATATGTAAGTTCACCAAAAGAACAAAACCTAGACTTGTTATAATAGTCATCAATGTTAAATCCAACAGCAAGACATTTAATGAAGTGTATTGAAAAGAAAAGAACACCATTCTTATGTTAACAAATGAAAGATAAATCAAAATTTTATAAAAACTTTACAAATATGTTTAACAAAAAACTAAGACAATCAATATGAAAAGAAATATTTTTTCTTTATTTGCCAATAGATGATAGGAAGAAACTCTATACTTTCGATTACAATTCAGTTTAGAAAAGAATTCCATTTTTTTCAATTGAAGCAATCTATAGAAATTGAAAAGAGCAAATAGACTAGCATGGGCACGATATTTTTGTTTTTCCTTACCTATGTTTGTAGTCATGCCTTCTGTCTTTCTGTTTGTTTTCTATCAAAAATTGACACACAAGAATATTCTAATAAAGAAAAAAAAGTTATCCATAGACACTTAATCACATTAGTCGGATATGAATTTTTTCAGCAAATTGGATTCATTTGGAAATAAAGCAAAAAAAAAAATTTTTTGTCTCTCGCATAGCAGACTAGACACGAAACGTTGAATAATTTATAACATAAAGTTTTACTGCTAATATAAGAAGATCCTGAATCATTTGCCGTTTTATGGAATTCCAAAGGATCTCTTGCTGGTTTCCGTTTATGGAAATAACTAAACAGTATACTTTCCCATATAAAGTAATTTTTTAAAAGCCGTATTATGATTGTGAAAACATTTGTCTGATATAGACTAGTTCCGACCCGAGACCAGCTGCAAACAAGCGTAACCATCCAGAACACTCATGAGGACTTCAACTAAATATTGATTCGTGGCAATTATTATTTCTATCTCTTCGTTCTGTAGACCAAATCAATATTGTAAAAAAATATTCATCTTATACTATAGATATATTGGTAAGTAATTCTTTTGTACTTTTTGATGATACTATCGATATAGTAGATTTTCTTTTCGAAGCGAAATATTTTCAATGAACACATTAAGTTTATACAAGAGAATTTAATCTTATCAGTCATATGGTGACGTGTAAATTTGTCTCGCTTATTCTATTGTACACTGTGGATGTTAAACACATGCAAATGATATGGTAGAAAATATATTAAGAAATTCTAATTTTTGACAATAATAATATAATTTGATCAGCAAAGACGAATCACAAGCATATATCCTCCTCTTCTAGTCTAATAGTTCAACATTGTACGAATAAATTTGATTGTCATGCGCAACCAGCGTTATGTTGCATTTGATCAATGAGTCTTCTTGAATGAAACCATATTTGTTAGGTGTTTCCAATGTTACTTTTCTATTATAGTAGTTAACTTTGTTTACATATTCAAGATTAATTGGTCGATTTTTGAAATTGGTCACTTGTAAATTAATCGTATATAACAATCGAGTGCGTTTGTTCTCTCTTTTTTGCGAAGATTCATAATGATCATTTAGACTCCAATGTTCCACTATTTCTTCTTCAAGATAGGGTGTCGACGAGACCAATGTTACATTTTCTTTGTAAACAATATCAGCATCTTCACCAACTGAAAATTCATGTCTGGCTTTCGCAGCTAAATTTGGCAGTGAAGTTTCACCGACAAATCGATCGAATTCTCGCAAGATACAACTAAGAATGAGTGAAGAAGGTGATGTATATTTTGTATATTAACAGTGTATACTTACTTGCCACGGGTGAGAAATTTGTCGGACGTAATTCTGTATGAACGTTGAGCTTTGCTAGTACTGGATGAATCTGAGAAATACTTTGAGATCAACGAAAATCGTTCGACAGTGACCTGAGGACGAAGCATGGGCAAGAGAAGAGTAGTCTTAGCATCGATCGAAAATGGCTTGTCAATATTGAACACATAGACGCCACCTGATTCTTCACCTTGCTCGACAGTGGCTATCTGTGATGTCGTAGTAAATGATCTTCTCATATTTGGTAGCCCGAAATCGGGAAACAGAGGATCATGAGACAATAACACAGATCGTTGTACAGGTACTGCTGTCTTCAAGTTGATGTCTCCGCCAATGATTTCAGCTTGCTCAATTGATATTGCCGATTCGCCTTCATTCCTAATTTCAGCTATTGTAATAAGCACACTGATATCATTATACAAATTGAGTTGATAGCGTGTTTTCCAATTAAGATCCGATCGAAGGTAGCTTACGTGCAATATCTCGTCATGTAATGCGTCATATGTAAAGTTGACATAGAATTTAGGTTTTGGCGGTTCTTCAAGATAAAGAATATGATTAGCTGGCACATAATTGAGGAAAAGCTCTTTATCACTAATTGACTCATCTTGTATTTTGATCATATTGCTGCTCTCATTGATAAGTATTCCTTTAACAAATTTACTCGCATTTCCATCGAATGAAATTGGAGAACGAACATAGATCTGAGTACCATCAAGTGACTTCTTCTTTTCAGTAATTGTCGTTGAAGTGACGTTAACATTAGAACCTAACAATGTGATGGAATCGGGTCGAATGTAGATCCACTGGTCATTGGTGAACTCGAGAGGTAATGGACCCAGAAGTTGACTAACTTCGGCCATATTTTCGTAGAATCGTACGAGTGAATATGGGCCACCATTACATGTATCGGCAGCAAGAGACAAGATGAAAAGAAGTAGAAAAGTCATTCGATCCACGCGCAGTGACTATTTCGTCTACCTGGTTTATACTAGCAACTTGAGTAGTGTTCGTTCCCTGCTTCCTCTTTTCAAAATTTAAACAACGTTCAACAAATATCTGCCACGTCGAATGCAAACAAATGTTGATTTATTATATGTTCTCGTCATTAGCCTATAGCATTTAAAGCCAATAGAGCGTCGCTCTTTGTAATTATGTTTCATACTCTTATAAAAATACATTTCATTTGCTTCTTTCCATAGTGACTCATAGGCTCGGGACAGAGATAAGCGTAGAAATTTTTTTTCTTTTTTATCTTGTGTATGAATGCTTCCCAGTCAGACAAAAAATATAACTAACGCGTAAAAACGGTCCACAATTCTTACAAAAAAAAATCGTAGAAAGCGCACATTTACATGCGCTCATAACGCGTTAAAACTCTTAATGCGTTTATATTCGTTTAATACGTTGCGAACATGCTTATTACTTTTTTTCTCTGACTGAGCTAGTTTGGAACCGTTTTATTTTCTAAATGAGATCTCCAAAGAGAGAATAATTAGATTCCACAACTGAGCTTATTTAAGCGATAATTTCGATGAGTTCGTGTTTACTGTAATTGTCTTAACACCTTATAACAATGATTCCCTGGTTAAGTTGGGTGTGGGTGTGGGTGTAGAGAAGCAAATGTTCACACCCACACTCATACGCTCACCCACACCCCACACCCACACCCACACACTCACACCCACACCCACCCTTCTTTACTTCAGAAACTTAGTATTTATAGATTATTCTTTATGATCTTTTTTTTCATGTATTCGTCTTCAAGTTCCATTTTCTGGTAGTTATCGATCGCCTATGATTGAAACAATGCATCTTTCCTCTGAAATATTACGTTTTTTTCTATGTTAACAGCAGCAAACGAAACGCAGAAATCACCATTATTTTTATTGAACATATATTTATCAAACAAACACGGTTATGAATTAAAAGTATGTCCTTGAAAGTTTGATAATAGCATAAATCGGTCGAATGTTAACATTGTTATAACTTACGACCATAGTTATAATCTTGAGCTTTACTTAGAAACAGTTTGATTATAGGCGCTATCTAGTGCAATGTTCTATATTACTGAAGATTATCCATGTGAAACAAATTAAGATAAGGATCAGATCAAAATCGACTAAAATCATATTCTTTTAATCGATTTTAATCATTTGGTAATCGATTATAATTAAAATGAACCGAAAAAATCAGAATTTCATTGATTAATCTGTTTTACTTCGATTACAATCGATTAAAAATTCATGAAAAAAATTGATTATAATTCACGCAATAGGAAGTAAATCGGTTAAAGATCTTTTCATTTATTATGAAGAAAAATCAATTAAAATTAATTTTTTCCCACAATTTTTAATTTATTATAATCAAAATTAATCAGAGAGAATGAATTCAATTTTGATTTTTTCGGTTATTTTCGATTATGATCATTTTTTAACCTATTTAAATCTCATTATTAACCTTTTTTTTGCATGAGTTGAGACTAATTAAATCTATTAGTCATATACACACCTTAAATAAGGTACGCGCACATCAGACATCTGTGAACCATCGTCCACTTTATCCTTCTGAATAATGTAGGAAGCATTTCTCTTTACTTTTTAACTTGTAAAAAAAACAGCGACTGCTTCTTCTCTGTCCTTCTGATTGTCTTGATTTCTTCATTCTTTCGTTTCTCTTTTCACGTTTGTTGATATAATAACGAGGAAGAACGAGAATAACAGAAGAATCTGTGTTGATAAAAGTAGTGATGAACATATAAGAATGAAAGTGAGAATGACTTGATATAGTTAATTCATGTTTAAATAAAATATACGTCCTTATACTAAGAGAGAGCGTTATCTAAATTTTTGCATAATATATACTAATGATGATTACCATTTTAGAGAATAAGAAATATAATACAGTAGTTTCAACTTTTAAATACTATTCTCATCTACTCACATTTTTAAAATTATCATTGGTCATATAACAAAAAATATAGTGTCACAGTTGCATTCCCATTCGCCATATAATTACCAGAAAACTTAACTTGCAGATGAATACATGACAAAAGCACTCCAAAAATAATCTATAAATTCTAAGTTTCTGAAGTAAACAACAATGAAATACATATATTCTAATTTATTTTATCAAACATGTCAATTAAATCAGAATAATTATTAGTTCAACTTAGCTAAACCGACTCAAAAATTGAAAAAGTTAATCGAGTTACAATGGTTGATAGTTATCACTACGGTTGATGATTATGACTCAATTAACTTTTTGACTGACGAGTTCATCAGTTATAACTCTATCAGCTTTAACTTCCATAATGACCCACGTCGTCGCCAATGTAAATTTTGTTGCTGGTAAACGTGAGTTCGAGATTTATTTAAATGATTAAAGAAACGAGAATAAGGAATAACAACATTAACCACATAACAATTAATGTACAACCAAACTAAATAACAATCGCACACGAGTAGAAGAAAGTATCTCTATAGATAATGATCAGCTCATTGAGAAGAAGGAAAGAAACACATATATATATTCTTGTCAGAAATAATAAACCTTTTACTATTAGAAAAACCTTTATTGGTTTTGTTTGGTATTAAATATCTGTAAATGTTACTACACTTGTTAAATAATCCATTATTCTGGCTTGTATGCTAGATGAATGTAAACTGATTTGCCAAGCCATTCTTGGTTTTGTTTCATTTGTGTAACGTATTCGTGGAGGTTCCAATAAGATTTTAGTAAGATTAGCGCATTGTGGGCCTGAGAATCCGTTATATGCATGACGGGCACGATTATTTATTTGTCCACTGCGACAATCTCGAACAAAATATTGCCATTCAGTTAAATTATTTAAATTTTGTTTCGATGTTATATAATCAAATTCATAAATATTCCATGTATTGTAAACGTGCGCTGGTACTTGGAAAATGAGTATTGCTGCTTGATGATCAACATAAGGTGCAATATGACGTTGACACCAATCACTAGCATCTTTAAAGTATGTGTTAAAATAAAAATCTGGTCCAAAATCTAAATTTGACTGCGCACCCATAGCATCGAGACCAAAATGAAGAATATGAAGTGCCTGTTGTTATGGCCGAAGTTGGAATCCAGCCCGATTCGGAATTCGTCCAGACGAAATTGGAATTCTAATTTCGTCTAGACGAAACTGGAATATTTTTTTAGTGAGTCGTAAAGCTTAAAATAATACCAAAAATCAGACCATGGGTGGATCACAAATNGAATAACAAGTTGAAGGACCAAAAAAACTTCCTAAAATGGGGGTTTTTTAGAATTACGTGTCTATGTTGACAAGAAAAATAAACTTAATTTGATAAAAGGACAACGTTATGCACTGCATCTTGACACGCTCTTTCCAACAAAAAAAAAATTTAATATATCAGATTATTTTTGACAGACAACTTTTGGATACGCCATCACAAAAACCAGAAATCCAGAAAACCGAAAAACATTTTTCTGAAAACACTGTTTTTAAGCAGCAGCTGCGAGAAATCATCAAAACTTTCGGTCAAAAACGCGTCATTAGATTAAAAAACTATAGTGTTTCTGAAAGAGCTGAAGAAGGGCTATCTTCCCATGCATTTATCTCAATTTTCATTTTTTTGACGAAAATTGACTTTTTTCGAGGGGGGGGGGGGGGAGCTTGAAACAGTATGCTTTTCGATTTAAAGTAATTCG